GCTAGTGTTGTTCTTGTGTCAAGTTTATTATTTAGACTTCCATATATTTGGAGCAAGAGCAAGTCCATGTGTTAATTTGTGAAATTATTTGTTTGAAGAGATTACTATTATTGTAAAATTTCTTTTCGACATAACCATTTTTGATGGCAGGTGAAGCATATATATATGTATGTGAAATTCACTAGAATTGTGAATTAAATTTTCAACCCATGATTCAAAAGTAATGGGTCCAATAATAAGAACCGTGTCAAATTTAGATTATGGATATGCTTCTGACTATGTTCTCTTTTGTTTGGTTATTTTAGTTTTTTGAGCTTGAAGCAGCTTTTTCCTTGGGTTGTCATGAACACGTCTTGTGGAGCAAATTTGGAACTATCGAGGTGCATTGCTGCATCCCCTGTTTGTCATTTTAAATCCTCGATCTTTGAGCCAAGATCATGTGTACCCAAGCTCCAAGACTTATCAAAAAAGCTATTGCCTTTATGCAAAGATATAAATGCTAGAAGTAACAGGGAGAGAAGCATTCCATTCTCTGTTACTTGTAGTGCCAGTCAGGTTGACACTGCTGCAGATGAGCCCAGCAGTCTTACATATAAGGATGCTGGTGTGGACATCGATGCAGGATCAGAGCTTGTGAAGAGAATAGCCAAAATGGCACCTGGAATTGGAGGATTTGGCGGACTCTTTCCATTAGGTATTATTTGCCTTTAGCCTACGTTTTGTTGGTTAATCCTTTTACATGGCATCTTCAATTGAAAATCTTGATTCATTTGTTTAGTGAAAATGTAATCAAGATTTGCGTGTTATAAAATTATAAAACTCAAATGGACAGTTTGATCAATCAGCTGGTGCCATGACTAAAGTGAAATACTTTAGAAAAAATGTTCTTAAGCTTACTCTTATTTAGTTTTGTATTCTATGGACAATGACTTTGAGCTCTTTAAATCAAGCTTGTATTCTTCTTTTAGGTGAGAAATGTTAGCTTTATTACTGAGGATGGATGCCAGGGTTGTACCTTTTTGTTCTTTAAATATTTGTGATGACACCAGTCTCTGGGTAATGCTGCATGCACCTTGACTAATCTAATGTGCAGCTTGCTACAGTACAAGCACAGTTGAGGAGTAATCCTTCTCATCTAAGCTGGAGTAAATGGGCACACATGTGTCACTACCTGCAAAGCCTGGCAGTCTCTATATTGTTCTAACAGTAGCATATGACATTTAAACAGAAACAAAAGTTTGAAATGAAAAACCCAAGTATTAAGAAACAGTGATGTTAAAATTAATTTAATCAAAAAGAAGTTCTTATGCTCATTTACAATTATTATTTTTTATGACCGTGGCGTCCATGCCAACTTGTGTACACCTCTGCTACCTTCCACGGGATATCGGTAGCTGTGTCCACCAAGGCTTAGACACATAGGTAGAAATCACCTAGTGTTTTTGCGTCTGATCAGATTTGAACCTGAGGCCTCATTGTTCTCAACCCGCTTAATTGATTTCTAGGCCACACCCTTGGGTGCCCAGCTATATAATGGCATAGCAACCTCTGTTCTCAGGGACCAAAATACGTCTTTTCATAGGTTTATTTTGCATTTACATTGCTGATTTACTGGTGGGACTAGAAGCAATCTTTTTCTCCTATGGGTTCTTTACGCATTAGGGTCAGACATGTGTTGTAGTTTTACCAAAATAACATAAGTTCAGGTCCGTAAGCTTATAACTTGGTGTACTGATGTCCACCATTACCACGAAAGCAGGTTTGTCTTGCGAAACGAGAAGTAGTTCTTGAAATTAGGCTACTTTTTACTTTGTAAGGTCATGCATTTTTTAAGCATTCAGTATTTCACTATGCAACATTACCACTTTCTCGGTGCCTGCAACTACTCAAAGTTATAGTGGTAAAACCCACCAAAGGAGCACCATATGATTATTTTTTTTTGCTTTTCTGCCAGCTAAGACAAGTCCTTTTCCTTTCTCCCACATCTCTTATTTAAATTGAACCCCTAAGCAGAAGGTGGAGAAACTAGTTTCTTCTCAGTTTAATATTCATCTGTAAATCTGAAAATCTGAATTAGCCAGTCCAAAGTGCAAGTTATATCATTTCCAAAACCTGTTCTTACTGATGTTGAGTATCATTAACTGATGGAGTCACAATGCAACTGAGCACAGACAAGTTTGTCCAACTGATTAATGCAACATTATAGTTGTTAAGACTTGTAGGTTATGGTTTTATGGAGTTCTAAAAACCTTAATTCCACTAATCCTTAGCTTGTTCCTGCTCAATATTCCCCTATATATATTTCTGCTCTATTTTCCTAATGGTCTGCGTAACCCATAGTCAAAGTATATGTTTTTCTTTTTCTTTTGTTCGTTGTTCTTTTGGTCTTTTTTATGTTGTTACTGATCTTAATTTTGTAAATTCTTCTTTTTGGGTTTTTTCTTGTACTGAGCAGGGGATTCATATCTTGTGGCTGGTACTGATGGTGTGGGGACAAAACTTAAGTTGGCATTTGAAACGGGAATTCATGATACCATTGGAATTGATCTGGTAAGTTTGATTCATCTTTTTATGTGTTTTGCAGATATGCAAGAACTAATGGCGTCTTTCTTACCAGGTTGCGATGAGTGTTAATGACATTGTCACTTCTGGAGCAAAACCTTTATTTTTCCTTGATTATTTTGCAACTAGCCGCCTTGATGTTGACCTTGCAGAGAAGGTATGTCTGGCCACATATATCTATCTCCACTTCCTGGCGTTCCCATTGCCTTATTCAAACTGGTGTGTTGTGTCCTTTTCCTGTAAAACAAAGTTGGCTTCTTACATTTATGCAGGTCATAAAAGGTATTGTGGATGGTTGCCAGCAATCTGACTGTGCTCTTCTAGGGGGAGAGGTACCTATAACTCCATTTTTCTTCTCAAAAATCACTCCTAGTAAAAAAATGTGACTCATATTCTGCAGCAAAAGCATTATATATGAATGACAAATATTGAGCTGCTCGTTCTAACAAAAGAATTTCAGCATGGAGTTGATTAGTTTGTGCTGCTTTTTTTTTGGTTGATATGTGCATAGTCATTGAGACATTCTGGATCACTTATCAAAACTTGTAGCATGTCATTTTCCTGCTTCATCACACCCTTCTTTTTTTCTTGTGCTATTATGGGTTGTTAGTATACTACTGCATATAGCTTCTCTCTCTCTTTCTCTCTCAGGTGCCAAATGTTGGTTTTGTTTCATGACATGGAAATGTGTTAGGTAAGATGTGTTCTTTTTAAGTAGAATTGGCTGATGTGATCTAGTATATTTGTTGAGTGTGAATAATGACATGCGTTTAATTACTATATGTTTGGTAAACCATGGCTTTGGAATTAGAAACAATCTTCTTTTATTGCACTCGGTTGATTTAGTGTGCATTTCAGACTGCAGAGATGCCAGATTTCTATGCCGAAGGTGAATATGACCTCAGTGGGTTTGCTGTGGGCATTGTGAAAAAGGATTCAGTTATTGACGGGAAAAATATCAAGGTTGGAGACGTTCTTATTGGTTTACCATCTAGTGGAGTTCATTCAAATGGGTTTTCTCTTGTTAGAAGGTTTGTCTATTTTGAGAGAAATTATGTATTTAAGCCTTTAAAAATAATTTGATAATTTCATTTCCTTTTGACTTACATGCTTTTCTTTCCTTCCGTTGAATGATGATAATATGCAACCTGTGTAGGGTTCTGAAGCAAAGTGGTCTTTCTTTGAAAGACCAGCTTCCTGGTGAATCTATTACACTTGGTGAAGCTTTGATTGCTCCAACTGTTATATATGTTAAACAGGTTTCACCTTTGGTTTTCTTTTCTTCTACTTGTATTAATAAAAAAATTCAATTTTTAATATCGGGTATGCAGTAATGTGTTTCACGGATTTGGAAAATGCAGGTTCTTGATATTATTAGCAAAGGAGGGGTTAAAGGAATAGCCCACATTACCGGAGGTGGCTTCACTGACAATATCCCTCGAGTATTTCCCAAAGGCCTTGGAGCCCTTGTTTACGAGGGCTCTTGGACAATTCCTCCTGTTTTTAAATGGATTCAAGAGGTGAGTATCTTTTGATACTTGCTTGAATGTTCTTTCCCTAATTACTTGCACATGAGATACTGATCGCGTACACTTCTATTGCATGTTTTTTTTTTCTTTAATGTTTGTGATATGGTCATTGAAATGTAGGCTGGAAGAATAGAAGATGCTGAGATGATGCGAACTTTCAATATGGGTGTTGGTATGGTCCTTGTAGTAAGTCCAGAAGCAGCTGATCGGATACTTATGGAAGTACAGAAGACAAGCATTGCATACCGGATTGGTGAGGTTGTAAAGGGTGACGGAGTAAGCTATAGCTGAAAGCTACGCAGGTGATCATCGGAGGATAGACATGACGTGATGAGAGTTTTTTTCTCCTATCTTCGATTAAGAGTTTGAAATTTAGGAGCCTCTCTTATCGACCGTGTTTATGGATCTGTCTAACAACCAATGCATAGACTCTTAAAGATGTGTTGTGTTATGTGTATTAGTGTGTCATTAGTTACATCTGTTAGCCATGAGGAGGATGTAGAGAACTTCAACAGATTTTGAAATAGTTTTGCATGGAGTTTAGCAAATCATTTCCGCTATATTCCATTTTTATCAAAAGTGTCTTCAGATAAGTGCTTCTTACACCAACTCTATTCTATTTTTTCCATTGCAGGACAGCCAAAATGGTTGAGATTATACCACGAATAATAAGTCATAGATATTTGTGTTACTATAAATTATTTGATTAAGGCTAATTTGACATTTAAAAGTTAAATTGTTACTCCCTCTAGTCCATATCAAGTGAATTATTGGGGTTTGAAATACCCTTTAAGATTGATGGACATAATTTAAAATTACTTTTCATTATTGCGCTTTTGATTGATTTCAAACTATTCTACTAAAAAAATGTAAAGTAGTAGTTAATAAGAAGTGTAAATACTACATACAATGAGTCAATTACCAAACTTCAAGTACCACCCAATGTGCAAGAAACTGAAACTTACACACCTTATATTTGCTGATGATCTGATGATTTTTTGCAAAGGAAATGTGGACTCAGTGAATAGAGTGATGGAAGCATTAGCTCACTTCAATGCTGCTACTGGTTTGGAGGCCAATTTGGAGAAATCTAATGTGTACCTAGCTAGGGTAGATGAGAGGGTCAAAATGCAAATCCTAGCCAGAACTGGATTCTCAGAGGGTGTGTTTCCAATTAAATACCTAGGACTCCCTTTGTCACCTAAGAAATGGAAGAAGATTGAGTGTTGGTCCCTGATAGACAAGATTACTCACAGAATAAAAGTAACATACTCTAAACAACTTTCATATGCAGGGAGATTGCAAGTGATTAATGCAGTACTATTCTCAATTCATAGTTTTTGGGGAGCAGTATTCATCCTTCCTCAGAGTATTCTCAAGAAAGTGGATCAGATATGCAGAGATTTCCTATGGGGAAGCAGTGCTGATAAGAAGAAGGTAGCATTGGTTGCATGGGATAAAGTGTGTCTTCCAAAAAGACAAGGTGGTTTGAATATTAAAGGTTGTAGTAATTGGAATAAGGCATCTGTGGGACAATTATTGTGGCAAATTATAGTTAACAAAGAGTCATTGTGGGTTAAATGGGTTCACGACATATATATGAAGAATGACACTTCAATATGGACTCATAAAACTCCTATTGACTGTAGCTGGTATTGGAGGAAAATTAATGCACTCAAAGAGCACATGCAGGGCTGGTACAATCACAGAAGATATATGCTGACTCAAACTGGTAAGTATTCTATTACCAAGAGCTATCAAGCACTCATGGGTACTAAGCCTAGATGGAATATTGCTGAACTAGTCTGGACATCAATGGCTATACCAAAGCATAGATTCATGACATGGTTAGCAGTTCAAGGAAGATTACTCACACAGGAAAGAAAGTTGAGACTGCAGATTCAGGTGGAGGATATTGCATGTTGTTTATGTGAGGAAAAAGTAATGGAGACTAATGTTCATCTCTTTGAAGATTGCAAATGGACATCAACTGTGTGGCAAGCTATGCACCAATGGATAGAAGTACCAGTGCATAATATTGGTATTGTACAGGTCCTGGAAAACATAAAAGGGAATCGTTGGAAGCAATTCAAAAAAGAGATCATGGCAGCTATCTGCGGAGCAATCATATACCACACTTGGCGTGCTAGGAATTGGAGGAGATTTAGAGACATACGTGTACATACGGAAGAGGCAGTAACACAGATAAAGAAGGAAATCAGTGAAAGATTACACTTACTTAGTAGTTCTAAGAGAGCAAATAAATGTAGACACTTTATTCAGCATTTGTTATGTAACTAGGTATTTTGTTTTGTTAGAAGCCTATTCTCTGTTTCAGAAATAGGTGCTCTTTTATTTGTATATGTTCTTTGGTGGTTATGATAATATTTTACAGTTGTTACCAAAAAAAGAAGAAGTGTAAATATGAAAAAAATGTCCCAATAATTTTCTGGAAATTTGAAAAAAAATTCTTATGTTGAACTACTAACTCTTAATAATTAATTAACTTAATATGGATGAAAGGGAATATAAATACAGAAATATTTTATTTTTTTGGGATTGATTAAAAAAGAAAATGAATCGTATGAATTGAGGATAGAGGGAATATATTGACCCTTTCTCGAGGTAATGATAAAGTCTGTACATTTTATTTTTACCCTCTTCAAACCCATTTATTGTATATTACTTGATATGTTATTATTAATATTATTATTGGAGTATATCTTTGAGGAAAGGTTTATCGAAAATATTTTTTTTTTCGCAAAAATAAATATAACGTCTATTTACATTTTTACCCTTCCCACTGGACACTTTTATTATAGTTGTAATGGCAACTGGCAAGTCACATCTAGTAAGATCTTCCAAGGAGCTTTGTAAAGGGGTCCACACACATACTCAAAAAATAAAAATGTTGTAAATTAGATATGTACTTAACCAAGAGGCTTAAGCTTAAAGTAGCTCTTGTCAGCACAAGTACTTAGCTTCCTCAGTGTTCATTACTCACATCAAAAGAGGAAAAAAGAAAAAGAAAATTTCTCTTCAAGAAATGCTTTGATTCCTCTTCTACTCTGCATTTAAAAGTGGACATTACAACACTTATCTTTCTTTCATAAGTAAACACAAAGACACAAGAAACTAGTTTGTTGTGCCATTTAAAAAAAATAAAATTTCAACTCCATGGCACTTAAAGATTGGATCTTTTTGAGCTTCTTGGTCATGAAATGTTTTGTTGGTAATGTTTCTTCTTTCCTTCAGCCCTTACTATCTTTCATGTTCTAGTTTGGTTTTTGTGTTATTTATGATGTTTTCTACTTAGTATTTTAGTAATGAAATGTCTAGTTTAATTTCAAGTTTATCCCATAGACTTGTTTTCTTCTATTCCATTGTTATGTCTGGAAGAAAGTTTTAACTTTTAAGCTTTTTGTTTGTTTGTTTGTGAAGTGCATACTCATTGGTATGGAGATTTCTTGCGGGGTTATCGAAAACAGTCTCTCAAAGTTAAGGTTATGTACGGGTAAATCCTACCCTTTTCCGACCCCACATGTGGGATTACACAGGATACAACAACATAATATCTAGTGTAATCCTACAAAGTGGGGTCTAGGGAGGCTAGGTGTACGTAGACCTTACTCTTATCTATGAAGGTGGAGACGTTTCCAATAGATCCTCTGTTTCATGAAAAACAAATCAAAGTAGTTTGAAAAAGGAAATAGCATAAATGATTGTTGTTTGGTGAACATTGTTAATGATCTTGGAATAGAAATATTAAGAGTGTAGGTAAATGTACAGTTGAATGGAATAGTTTTGTATCAATGCTTAGCTCTACAAGGGAAGAAAGGAATAATGGTAAAGGTAAAAAAAAAAAAGGAAGATTTGTTTATTGATACAAAAAAATTGTCTCTTTCTTTCTGACCTGGAGATTCAATTGCTAAATTTTCCCAAATAGTATTTAAATGAGTTAAAGAAAAGACAATTAGTTTAACAAAAAGTTAATTCTAATCTGAAAAAGAGCTATTTTGATGGTTAAGTATATGAGATAAAGGTTTAGTTTACTATTAATTATTACTACCCAAACAGAGTCCTCTGTCATAGCTCTCTAAGCAAAAGATGAATTCCTTTTACTGAACTAAAGAAAACATTCATTTTTTTGATAAGGGACTAATGAAAACATTCATTTTTCTTTTGCTGTCTGAAGTAGTTCTTTATGCTTTAGCTCAAACGATATAGTTGTCGTTAACTTGATAATCTAGTAACACCAAGACAGTGGGGTTGCTAGGAGCTATGTTGCTCGGACTATTCAAAAATATTGTCAGGGTCTGTGTCATGTCCTCTAAAAGTAGTACATTTAATAGAGGATCCGACAATAATTTTGGAGAGTCCGGCACCATAGGTTTAGGTGTCCTAAAATGTAGAAAATGTATAGAGAAGGTTAGTTTTTCATCATTCTTTTGTCAGTGATCCAAGAGTTTTGTTGATAGTGTGTAGAGTATTTAACCCGATATGATTAAATTGTCCTACAATAGAAGGAAACTCTTTATAGCCAGTCTGATATGGAACTTTAATAATAAAGTATTAACATGCGATATTGTCAGTGTATATAACTTAAATCTTTGATCTCATCGTTTAGATTAGTTTTTCGCACAATATTGCATTGTACACAATAATTTTCTATACTTGGAATTGGCATAAGTTGTGTTTCTTATTCATTAAGTTGTTCTATGTTCTTACATTGCTACTATAAAACATATAGTGCTAAAAGTAGAGGGCATGGTGCAAGAGAAGGAGGATGCAACTATTCCAATTACAACTCTATCACCTCCTGAAGGCAACACAACATTCCTTGGTGGCACAACATGGTGTGTGGCACGGGCCGGGGCTCGACAGTTTGATTTGCAGAATGCATTGGACTGGGCTTGTGGATTGGGGATGGCGGATTGCAGGCCCATCCAAACCGGTGGCCCGTGTTTTGAGCCCAATACACTTTTATCCCATGCTTCATTTGCTTTCAATACCTACTATCAACAAAATGGAAATTCAGATATTGCTTGCAATTTTGGAGGAACTGCTATGTTGACTAAAATCAATCCAAGTAAGCATCTGTTTGGCCTTTCCATGACTTCAGTTTCTAAAGAACTTACGCCTCACTAGGCATAACATAAGTTCAATTGCTAAAGGACAAAAATTAAAGACCAATTCATTTGAAGAACAAAACGTGCAAATTTATGAAAAGGAAACATAATGCCTTAACATTTCCATTGTTTTATGTTTTAGGTCATGAAAGATGTATTTATGTTACATCCAGTCCCAGGTAACGTCGACTATTATACATAACTTCTCTTTTCATGAAACATTATATTGCTCGAATCCTTCAAAAATATCACCAGACATGTCGTATCTTTCAAAATCATTCATTTTTTGAGGATCCGACATAGGTATAACAATATTTTTGAAGAATCCGAGCAACGTAACATACATATGAAAATACCTAAGCATCCCTATTAACCGGTCTACTCTTTTTATTTTGGTTTTAAGGATTGAGAACATGAAGTCTGAAGCACCTCCATTTCCCAAAGAAAGGTTAAGCATTATGTGGTGGAAAATAGCTATGATTCTTCTTCTATTGTACTCAGGAAGTTGAGATGTAATTTTGCTATATGTAAAATTAAATTTAAAAACGGACCACTTTTTTTGTTTGGGAGAAAGTAGAGGGGGGCATAATCAAGAAGAGATACTATGATTAATTAATTAATTAAGATATTTATAGCTCTTTGGGACATTCTTAGAGTGGTTTAATTTCTTAAGTATATTCCTTACTCTCTTGTTGTATTAAGCATCTCAACCATTGAGAAGAAATCTGTCTTCTTTTTGTTATAAAGAAAATTCAATGCTGAATAGTTTATACAACTGTTGATTACTTTAGTGATTAGTAAGAATTTTGAGTGATTTTTTTGGTCTAGTCAACATCTAGGTGTGTTTCGCTAATTATTGAGTGATAGTTTAGGTGGAAAACTCAGGCTCGCAATAATTCAGATATGAAATTCAATAAAGTGGATAGTCTAGATGTGTTTTTGACTACTATTATAATTTTAAACTTCTATTTTATATTTTGGTCGTGTTTGGTACGAAGGAAGGGAAGATAATTAATCTTCTTAGAAAATTGGATGAAATTATTGAAAGCTCAAGAATCCATTTGTTTGGTTTTGGGGTCCAATTCATAATCTGATTTTATCCCTTTATTTCATATATCATATGGTGAAGCTTTCTTGTAAATATTTATTTTATTATAATATAGAAATATTATGAGAGGTGAGAGAGGATAGAAGTGTGGGGTAGTGGGGATGAGAGTTGGGTTTGTTCAAAATCGAACTGCAAAAAGGTCAGTAGTTTATCATTAATAGGTTATTAGTTAGCGATTTCGATAACAGTTTTGAGTTATTTTTATATCGAGTTATCAATTTTTCACTATCTCAAACTTTTGTTTATTTTACAAGGTGTTAGTGATCGCTTTTGAGCAAGATGAAGTATATCAATTCAAGTTCATAATTCACTTAGTTTGTTATCTTGTTTCTAATTGATTTTCAATAATTCCTTTAATATAAAATCTTAACGATTAAATCAATATCTGAATCATAACGATTAATAATCAATTAATCGATATTTTAATGATTCTATAATGATTTAGTATTCCACAAGTATATAATTAGTAAGTCAAATTGAACCGAATCAACGAATATACAACCCTAACAAAAGCTACTGAGGTGGAAATGGGCATTAATGTGAAATATCATTTGTTACTCTTTATTCTCCCAAATTTTTACATGAAAAGTTATTTTTGTCATTCATAAGATTTTCTTCCGATCAATTAAACATGAAAAAAATTAAAAAATATATCTTCGAATACACCTTTTTGTCTCAACATTTTTTTTCTTGGGCAGAGGTCATGGAAGTGACAGGACATAAGAGGCCAGCCATTTGCCTTTATGCACGCCTTCTTATTGTCATTTTCCTTTTGTTTCTATTTCCTCTTTTTGTACAAAAGTTTCTTTTTATCGTACATAATTTGTTACTTTGACAATAGATTTTCAAATATTTTTGATAAATTATTTTTAGGTGAAGTGTTAGATGAAGTTTTATCATGTATTTGATTATAATTTTTGGGTAAAATATTTAATGTTTTTAAAAGAAATATAATTTATTTTCATATGTACTATAAACTATTAAAAATATTTATAAATTTATATTATCACTTATAATGAACATGTTTCGTGAAAAGTTATGATAGTGAATACAACTGATATGAATGTAAAAAAAAAGGAAGAAAATAAAAAGAAAATACTATTAATTTGTATATGAAAAACTACTATTACTCTTGAGATGAGAAGTAATTTTGGAGAGCCAACTCAAATAAAAACTATATAAAAAATGTATATAACTATATAAATTATGTACAACAGACTAGGACTGAAGTTCAAACTATAAATTATGAGTGTTTTATGAAATATAAAAATTTGGGATAGTTTTTAACTTTGTACAAATTCCAAAATTATAGAATTTAGCCCAAATACTAATTTTTTTAACGTTTGGAAATTTAAATTTTTTGTCAAATTTTTTTATTAAATAATGACAAGTTATAAAACCAAATAATATTTGCCAAGTTTTTAGTTTCAAATATTTCTAGCTATTTGATTATTATCAAATATTAGTTATGATAGTCAATAATCTGATATAACCAAATAATATTTGCCTAATAGTTTTTTTCTTTCAAATATGCCAAGAAAAAACTTCAAACCTTTAAGAACTAATAATCTGATAATAAAGAAATTAAAATCATTATAAAAACTGCTAAATCAATAATCCATTATTAATAGACCAATATTTATTTTGTTCGAATTATCAATTTCGATTCGATTTTGAACCTGGATCCTTCTTGAATATTCCCCTCACATCAACCGGAAGAAATGATGAAGCTAAAGCTGTTGTAATAGTAAATGGACATTATTCTTGTTACTTTTAAGAAGAGTATTTGAAAACACTCCTAAACTAGAGGTGAAATAACACCTAAATTCTCGTCAAGTTTAAGGGCGTTTTCAATACTTCTCTTGGTTTTTTATTAAGAGTTACATGTCATACAAAAGTTTGACCACTTGCTATGTCTTGTGGCAAATCGGGGTGTATCTAAATTTAGTTAGTCAAGTAGAAAGGTGTTTTTAAGGTTGTCAATAGTTCGAGAATGAAACTAATAATTTGCGTCAAGTTTAGAGGTGTTTTCAACACTTCTATATTACTTTAATAGATGGCCTTCCTACTGGCCAGCCAGTTACTGCAGCTAAAATATCAACAATTAAACACTACTACATGCAGGAAAAATGCTCTCATTCCAAATGCAAAGAGTGAACAATGAATTCTCCATTGAACAATTGTTCAATGCAAATTTAGTGCACTATACCAAGACAAGAGGAAGCATAAATATCCTAGGCTTAGAGTGACATTTACTCAAGAGTACTTGTAATAAGCGTCAGCTACATCTTTTACGCAAAAGAAAATTTCTCATAAGCCAATCGCGACGATTTTGAAAAGGACTTATTACTAAATAAATACCAACCAATGACCTTATTCTGTTTTTAAATGTTTCAACCATTAACTAAGTTACAAATGATTGGAGGGGAAAGAACAGACATCACCTATGTCACAATGTTACAAGAAGACTGAAACATAAACTAAGCAACAAAATCTGCTATAAATATCAACACTTTAGCCAAGCTTTCAGAGCTTGAGGGTAAAATCTTCCAACTGAGTATGGAATGTGTCAACCTTATTGCTTCAAAGAATATTTACCGGGCTCGGTATATGTTTTCTCCAACTGCTCAACCTTGTTGAATCTGAAACCTCTGATTCTTATTTCTTCTGGTATTGAAGTATCCTTGTAGTCGACATTTTCAATTGTCCAACCCTTGTTCTGCACGGGACCTCCCACTTTGACCTGTTAAAACACAAATAGTTATCAGCAAGTGTATCAAATATCAACCTAATATTTTCATCAGAAAATTTGAGTTCAGGGGTGGACCAATTACAATCATATAGGCATGATGTATCAATTAAGAGACATCATTGGAGTTGATACACCCTTATATTGTCATCTGGATAATAAATTGATCAAGGACTTGAGATATACCTCGGCACCATCAACAGCCCCTACAATGAGAGCTCCATCCAGGGAAAGATCCTCAAGGGCAATATTACTCCCCTTGATCGCCATTGTAGACCTTTGTGACATGGAGCAGTTTCCACTCACTTTACGTTTTACTTCTGAGAAAGTAAGCGCCCATTTCGGCTTCCATACAACTCGAGACCATACCTCTACCTCCTGCCCGTTAAATACTTGGATAACCGGATCATCTATCTTAACACCAGCCTGTAATAGAAAGAGATGTTTTGTAATTGATGCACATATTAGATGGACACAGGTTTGCCAACTGAACTCATATGAAACTGACACAGTGGCTACTATGAAGGGAAAAGTTAGTAAAGTGTTTCAAGAGTTGATAGTTATCTTTCATACTATGACAATAGAAGTTACAGTATCAACACTCTTACCATCTTTTTTGCCAAGCCCAAGGTGGTCTGGAAGCAATAGATTGGAGGACAAATCTTTATCATGGGGCAAAACAAAATGATCTTATGGACACAAGTCATAAGTGTAACCTTGTGTTTGGGTTTGCTCACCACTCATTCACAAATGTGACTAAATAAATATTCTGATTTACTTTTCTCTAATCATTTATGACCAGCAACTCTTCTTGTAGTTTCTACTGTCTTTTTTTCTCCATTGTCTTTTCTGTTGGTTTACGTGTTACTTAAAAAGTACAAGGACATAGTAAAAGCCAAAATTGCTTCTATCAGATTCCAGCAATCTTTTCCTTATACTGCCTCCTATAGAGGTTTGCACTACAATTGGTGCATAAAGTATCAATACCCATAGTCAAGAAAGAAATACTCCAAAGAAGTTCAATTTTCCACTTGAAATCCCAGAAGGAAAGAAATACCTTTCTTAGAATGAGGCTGTGAGAGCGATATATGGCCATTTCTCCCGAAGTGGCACTGTGGTAGGGATTTCCTTTTGGCACCTTTCGTTGTAAGGGAGACAATTGAAAAACAGTTAGAAATCGAACCACAAGAAATCACATCAATAGCAATAAATAACAACCTATAGTTATTTTTAGTAACAACTGTCCAGAAAGACTTCAAAAAAAACGTCAAACCCATGAAATACAAGTAAAAAAATAGAGTTAAGAATGTCAGTAAGCAGTTTCAACTTTCTTAGGTGGTGAAAGAGGGTTAGGATAGTGGCTATAAACAAAGGAGGAAAAAATAAAGTGGAAGAAATATGCCACTGCATTTTTCACTTTTAGAAGGTTGCCCACTAATTATAAGCTTATGATTGCATATGCAAGAAAAAATTCCACAACGTCATCTCAAAGACCAAAGAGAATTGTTGCCTCTACAAACACACTTCGGTTGTGATCCTAATACCTACATAACTAAATTACAGTATCTGACAAGTATGCACAAGATCTAAACTCAGCAGAAGAGCTTGAAGCCGAAATCATTCGAGAAAACACATAATAGCGACCTAAATTGGATTTTTTTTTTGCTAACTACTTGATATTAAATTAACCGTCGAGTCCTAAGAAAGAAAAAGCCAGAAGCAACAATTCTTCATTGCAATGGCCTGTGTGGTGAAAATTTTCAGAATGGAGCCAAGGAAGGGTCCACATCAACCACTAGGGACAAATATATTTGTTGTATATAGTCAGCACTAAATCATCAGATCTTTCAGTGAGAAGCAAGAACTA